TAGAAACACCATCAGTAACAACCAAATAAGACAATTCCTATGTGATGTATCCCAGTAATTCCACAAAATGTATTGTGATAATTTTGTATTGCGATTACCGTATTTTTCGGCTCATAAGACGCACCCAATTTTAAAAGAGGAAGATCTAGAAAAAAAAGATTCTGAACCAAATACTGTTGTAAAATATTAAATATCAACTGTGTAAAAGTTAACAGCCAAACATGTAACATGAACAGACAGTAAACAGTAAAAGTAACAAAAAAAAAAGGCTGTAATGTTTTACTTTGCCCCCACTCATCATTCTAAAGTCCACCATTCGTTATCACCATCACTGTTCCAGTGCAACATTGCCCCCACATTAGTAATGTAATAGCCAGTAACATTGTCACTACCCAAAGTGTGTGCGAGGAGGGGGAGAGACGAGTGTGTGCGCTGCTCTTCCCCTGGGACCGCTTCCCTGTTACTTTTGTTTTGTGACGCTGTAGGAGGCTAAAAATAAAGGTTTGAGTTTGGGATGATGTGCTCGTCTTGAAGCTCCTTTTTCCACTAGCTATCAGGCTCAAGAAACATCGCAGATAAACTATTAGCTCCGCCCATTTCACATCTTGAAATGTTTTTAAGCGTGCAAAATCGGGTTTGTAGCGTGAGAGATCACTCAAATGCGAGAGTCTTACATTCAATGTGTGAGAAACGGCAGCTGAGCTATGTAGTTTCGCTCGTGAGTATGGATGCGGAAGCCAAAGGCTTTGTGGGAAATGTAGTTTTTTCCCCGCGTTTTCGTTACGGCCGCGCTATGGCAGAGATGGGCGATGACGTCAGCGCACAGCGCCGGCTGTACAAATATGGCCACGGCTTCGGCCTAGCACTGGAGCTCCTACGCCTCTCATAAGGCCGTGACTGGACTTCGCGGCGCTCTGCATTCGGTCTATAAGACGCACCAACTTTTCCCCCTCAGTTTTGGGGAAGAAAAAGTGCGTCTTATGAGCTGAAAAATATGGTATATTGTGCCATGATATGTTGTTACACCCCTAGTAGCTTTAGTTGACTGTTTATGACGAAAAAAGGAGAATAACCCAAATCACTCTCATTTTGACTTGAATCTTTGTTTATGTGTAGATTACTGAGCCTGTGTCCATCCGGAGATGCATTGATGAGTGTGAAGCCCGGATAGAGATCGGTGTGTATATCAAAGATTTTTTTTTACTTAGACAATGCATTTAAATATTTAGTGTTTAAAATTGTATTTTTTCATGACAGGGCTGCACTACATGAACCCTTACCCCAGACCAGTAAGTGTGTACCGTAATAGCACTCTACACTATTTCATGCTCAATTCTAATCAGCCAATCAAAGAGCAACCTGGTGCAGGGTTATTAGTCTCAGTGATATTTCTTCCCTTTCAGACATATCTTCCCCCGATGGGTCTTGCCACGCAGAAGGGCAGAAAGCTTCGTACTCAGCAGAAATTGAGGAAACAAGCCAAACCTGTGTACCTCGAGTCTCAAGAGGAGACGTGACCCAAGCATGTGACCCCAAGTCTGTCTTATCACATAGAAGATACTGTGCCTGTGAAAAGTTGTTTATTAGCATCATCTAAAGCTGTATTTATTCATATCTGAAAATGGATTTTACTACACTAAAATAAAGTTTGATTTCCAAATCAAGTTTCTAAATAAATTTCCCACTATTTTTGAAAATCCTTTCAAGGATTGCATCCAAAAAGTTCCTTCTGTAAATAATATTTTTGGGTATGGGTGGCGGACCAGAACTCTTGTTGGACACCAGAGCCCTGAACAGTTTAGTTCTAACTCAAGTTAGTTCAATTTGCTCTGCGCTGGATCTCCAGAAAGACACTGCTTTAGTTTGAAGGTTTTAATCCGACACAATATTCTTAACAAAACAATGTAGTCTCCAAATGTTGATGTAAATGAAACATCTATTAAAATTTGTTAAACCAACAGGACTCAAACGAAACAAATTCCTAAAATGCAGAAACTTTCCGTTAACCTTGAAAGCAGATTTGATTTATAAAGGAAAAAATTTAGTCATGTGCAGGTCACTCAAATGGAGTGACAGCAGGGACAGCCAATTAGATCTTTCAGAAGATTCTACTTTATTGGCTGATTGTGCGTGGTCTCTCTCTCGGATACAGAAGTATGCCTGATGCGAACTCACACAGAATGAAATTAATTTTTACTCAAGTCTTTCCGACTCAAAGGGGTCCATTCTGAGTCAAGTCATGAGTCATTGGGGTTCAAGTCCAAGTCCTTTGCCAAATAATCAAGTTAAGTCACCAAATTCGGGACTCGAGTCCACACCTCTTTCTCTAGGTAGCACCGTTTTACAATACAATAGCACAGTTAGCGTAGCTGCTATAGAACTGCACAATGTAAATAATGATTAATACGTATGAAAATGGTTAATATAATTGTGTAAAACCCTTTCTTGCTGTAACCAAAACATCTATAGCTGAAAATAGCAAAACTTCAGGTCTTAAAATATATATAACATGGAGCGGTGCTTCCACTACGAGCAGCAAATGTACCACAAATGGTACATTCAACATGCTTAATAACGGTACATGAGTTCCATTTCTATTCTTACCCCGGAGCCCTTGAAACCAAGAGCTGAAGCCAACAACCAATGAGACGACACGTTGCTAGGATTCCACACTCAGTGGGTGGGGCTTAACTTGTCTGCAGACAGGGGTATTGTTAAAAGCCTCTACACACTGATCCGAATTGAGATTTGCACAAAGGTTGCTTTTCGTCTGGGTTGAGGAAATATTGATGCAATGATGCTCCTTGCCTGATGATGGTGTTTGTGGCACAACAGATGCTCTTTGCACCACACAGGGAAACAGGAAAGACGATGTCAACAGCCCAATATTTATAACTGGGAGTTGATCAGTCAAAGGTATAAATGTGGAGAATGAGAGGAAGTCGCTATGAAAATGTGGGATATATGCAGTGTGAAACTATTTGACGTTTGGCGCTGATAAACACATGTGTCAAGTAGAAAACATATTTATTACAAGCGAATGGAACTCATCTAGAAACTACTGAAAAACCATTGCTGCCCAGTAATATTACTCCTCAGAGATGCGCAGTAAATGAAACAAAACTTAACAGGCGCCCGTGGTTTTCGATTGAGGAGGGTTCTCGTCTGAAAATGTGGATTTGTGTGTAGAGGCCTTTAGAGAATTAGAAATGGAATCAGTGGTTAAAGTGGTAGTTGAAATTAGAATATACTCTTCTACTTTACCACCTAAAAATACAATATATCAATATATTGGTTAAGGATTTCACTTATATTTATTGATATTTTGCTGTGTGTTAAGACAAATAGATACAAGTTTGGAACAACTGGAAAATATGAATTCAATAGCATCTATAAAGTAATGCACATGTCAAAATGCAACTACTTTTAATTTATTTTCCAAACAGTGCTCTGATAACGTTCAGTTGTCTAGCTGGCAAAGGCAGGCGACGCCGCGATTGATCCAGTGTTTCTGAGGCCGGTCTGAGGGCAGTTCAATGGAAAGCACATAATTGGTTGAGTGCCCAGTGGTGGAGAGTGTCCCCCGTCTGGCACTCGTCTTGTAAACCGGACACACGTACACTCTCTCGTGAAGGAAGGTGGCGGTCTCTCCAGGCTTCAGCCAGATTATGGGCAGTGCATCGAAGAGAACTTTGGGAACGGACTCACCAATCACCATGTGCTCTCGGTCCCACCGTGCTCCCTCCAGGAAGAGTCCACGGATGTACGCACCATCTTCAGGTTTCGTCTCCATATGGGTTTCCTGGTTGCAGACCTATTTTAAATAGAAATCTAAGTTTCTACTAAAGTACTGAACAACTCTGCTACAATAAGGATGTTTTTTTTCACAAACCTCAAATTCGAAGCCAATGTAGTCGATGGGAATAGTGTATTTGCGAGCAAAGTTTTGAGATACACCTGTGAGGAACGACTGAGTAAAATAAAAGGCAGAAACCCAGAAGACCGATGGAGGGCCGTTGTCAATCCAGTCCTAAAATCAACAAATATCTAACAGTTGGCAAAAAATAAGTTGAGTGTCTTGTGTGTGCACGTCCAGTTTTAGTTCACCTGTAGAAACTGGAGTCTAGCCAGGAAGTCAGACACATAGCTCCCAAGAGGTTTGAGGGAAGGGTATGACTTAGCTGCCCACATGGCCGGAACTTTTCCAACAAGAAGACTGTTGAAAACGTTGTCGAGCTCAGCTGACATCACCACCTGTCCTCGGAGAGCCTTCTGGGTGTTAATCAGGCTGCTGCGGACCACCTTAGACAGTCTATGAAGGACACGTTCTTGTTGTTTATGTTTTCAATTTAGAAAATAAAACCTAAGTCAATGAGGAGTTGCCATTAATTAAACCTGTTGAAGCGAATGAGCTCCTGGCGTAAGACAGTGTTCATTGATTCTTCGTACAGAAGCGGATATTTATTGGTCACCATCTCAATGTCGAAATCACTGGGTAGTTTAGCCAGCATTGCCTCAGCCAGCTCATCCACGACTTCCTGTGGACACATAGAACTGCAGGCATTAATAATCTGGAAAATGCAACCAAAACACACATTTATAGGGATTGGCTCAAATAATATGCAAAGGTCAACCTCTTCATCTTTGACTAGCTAAGGGCTCTGTTTGTAAAACAATGTGCAACATGATTATGCGTTTTTTCACTCTGTTTTTTTGTTGTTTCATTCTCTACTGTTCTACTATGTTTAGTCCTGCATAGTGATTGGGAATTGTTTAATCTCCATAGCAAATCAATGCCTGGGGACTGGTTGAGCTGACTTTTTGAATGGTTGGCAGAGCAGTGAAAGTAGTCCCTTTCTAGAACATTTCCGTTTCCTTGTGTGTGTTTAAAACTCTAGGTTAGGGGGTCCATAAGTTGATCCAAGTATGGGTTTCAACAATAGAGGAAGGTTTCAGATTGTTCTGAGAGCTTGCAGGAAATAACTGTTATAATTACCCCTTTAAACAGTGGCTCAGTTGGTAAAGCATTGCTCTAACAACGCAGAGGTCATGGGTTCAATTCGGGTTTCAAATCGTGTTTATTCATTCAAATGCAAGTCGCTGCCAAATGCATAAAATGTAAATTGTAAACCTTTGTTACATAACGTGATACTTTAGTTCATAGCATTTAACATTACTGTAGAAAGTGATAAGAGAGTAACTAGTGACCGATTGAACATATACATTTATTAACAATTGGTATGTTACGTAGTGAACTTGAAAACAATACCAAGAGGCTACATTATCTAAGCATTTTCAGATCACAGGCTCTGTCATTGGACAAACAAGCCTTGCTCTTTTTTTTTGAGAATAATAGCAATTTGCAGAGCATTATCTATCCACTCCACCTTCACCCACTGGTGGTAATAGAACATGGCTGCCATTTCAGCCTACAGCCTCCTGCCCGCCACCAAACACACCCCAACAGTCACACACATCCATACAAGCCAATGTGGGTGAAGTGACTTGCCCAAGGCCACAATGGCAAAATGGACATAGAGGGGATCAAACTGCCAACCTTCTGGTTGAAGGACAACCAACACCACCAATACGCCACTTGCCACCCAGAATAGGCTCAGAATATAAGCGGACAGTTGTTTTATACGTTTTGGTTTATCCGTCCATCCCTTGATCAACTCTTAAGTATTTTACTAAAAAAAAAAAACACTGTTTAATGCAATCAGGTACTTACAAACACATTTTTTTTTTCATTTTGGATTCATGTTTAGAAATAGATATTATTGTCTGTTTCACATCTGTATTGTTGCCAGTTTTGAAAAAGAAGACATCAAGTTATAGCAGTGTGGCTGAATATTGTTTGCTTATTCTATCATAAGAGTTAAAAATAATAATGTTATGACTATAGTGTCCTCCATATTAAATGTAAGAACACTCTGAAGTCCTCAGATTGGCTGTGGTCTGCGTCCTCATACCTGAGGTGATTTGCCTGCTCCACTGGTTTGTCGTGGGAGTGTCAGCAATACCCCATCCAATAGCTGATTGGTCTCCTGGTTGTCTTTGGTGATGTTAGCATTGCTGTGGAGGCCGAAGACCTCGGGTTCTGCACTGATGGGCAAGTTACGAATGTAGTCCACATAACTCTACATTTCGATGAAAGAGTGGAAGAGATGAGAGACACTTGTCAACCATTGATAAAATGTATAGAAAAACAATGAAAGCAAGAACATAAAATGCACAATAGATGCAAAAAAAACAAATAAACAAAATATTCAAATGAAGAGGACCCAATACAGTGAAGCAAAAACCGGGACCTGATGCCAGTGGGTTTACCACTGCAGGTACATGTTAAACCCCCCACCCACCTTTAGTATCTCACAAAAGTCTTGAACTGTGTAAGGAAATTCAGGTTCACAGGAAGTGTTACAGCAGGGGCCAAAACTACAACCGATTTTCTATTACACTGCAGCAATGGAGTATTCATCCCAATGTTTTAGTTCGAGGTAAATGTGCCTGTTGATTCGTTAAAAGTTTACCTGGTACGGCGCATGTGAAGGTACATGATAAAGATGATCTTCACAAACTCTGTACTGATCCTGATGAATGAGCTGCCAGCTGTAGAAGATGGAGAGAAGAGACATCAGCAGCCTTCGGTCCTTATCGTCTGTGACCCTGCCGCCGTAATTACACTCTCCTAAAAGAGGATGGGTGAGTCAAGAAGTAGACATTAAGAAGCCATTTTATTCATTTAGATTAGATGTATTAATTAGATGGTTTTGTCAGAAGCATTTAACAGCTTTGTTTCTGATAAGAATGGTATGGTAAATATGTATCAAATTGTTTAATATACTTTTATAAAAGAGAGAACAGAGTAGTGGAAACTTGGCTGAAAGCATGTTTTGTTCCAAAATGTGAAACTCCACAATTTGGTCTTTATTCAAAGTCTTATCATTGGTTCTTGGAAAAAATGTAATATCAGCTGTGTATTCATGCTGTGTGTCCTCTCTGTGGCAGTTTGCATTTCCTGCAGAGTGCACAAAATCAATTCAACCAATCACAGTACACTGTTTTAGCACATGACCATCGTAGAGGTACCCTGTTATTTATTTTTTTGCGATTAAAAAATTTATAATTTCAATGAGCATGTTACAAAGAAGATAAATTCAGGTGCTGGAAAGATCTCCTCAAAGAAAAAAGCTGTAAGTGGAACAGTATTTGGTTCATTTATAATATTTAAAATTGCACAGAAATATGGATTTTAAATCAATGAATCAATGAATGATTGAATGGAATGTACACAAACTGCAAGATGTACACAGCCTTCTTTTTAAGAAAAATGTAGTCATATAGTTGATTATAAGTTTGGGACTTGTCATAAGTATAAATAATTTTACTTATTTATTATAGTATACTTATTTTGTATTTTATAATACTGATTACATTTATGGCATTTTGGGAAAAACAGGTCATTTTTTGGAAAGAATAAAAAAGGTCAGTTTATAAAATGTTTTAAATAAAAATATACATTTGAATTTTAATGTTATTAGAGACTCATTACAATACATTACTGAGTTTGAAACAACTCAGTTGAAAATCATTCTTGCCATGTTAAAACACAGCAAGACCATGTTTTTACATCCAAAACGGCACATTTGAATTGATCTGTTCAGGCTCTGTGTAAACCCTCCGTCCATCCAGTGTGAAGCTGGCATGGGTTCCAGCACCTACCTCATGACCCTAAACATGAATAAGCAGACAGTGACAAAAAAAAGCACAAGAGTGCTGCCATGTTCCTGCTAAAATAGAATCGATCATCTGATCTCTTGGATTAAGTTATGTTGCTGCTCATTAAATCAACCTGTGAGGTAGGTGAGGGCCTCCAAAGGAACTTCCTCATACTCGTCCAAGAACATCTGGATTTGACGAATACTGATTCTCAGGTCAGACTCATTAAACTCATATGGAATATTCCAACCTGCAGAGAAACACAGAGATTGATTGAACACAACTTTGATGATGAAAATGCTGTTTTAAAAGCTAGAAATCTAACCAAGCGGGCCAAACGTTCTCCTCTCCTGAACAAGAGCATGGAAAAAACACAAGCCAAAGAGTAACTTCTGCCAGATCTCTTGCTTGGATGAGCTGTTGAAGAACCCTGGGTCTGAAATGGGGTCACTGAGGTAAGAGCGCAATAGATTCGCCCTGAGACCTTTGGGAGGCTCGTTTGTCATCTTCACGCCATTCTGCAGAACACTCACTGGGAACTTATCAGACGGCTGGCTGGTCAACCACAACCTGAAACACAAGGAGTTTAGGTTGACTTTCAGGCTGTCAAGACTTTTGACGTGGCAGCTGAGATCATATTTTGGAGACACATGACATATTCGAAGCATCCATTTGGTACACACAGCACTGTGCAAAAGTTTTAGGCAGATGTGATAAAAAGGTGCTGCAAACAAAGAATGCCTTCAGAAATATCTCAAGTAATCAGGATTTCCTGCAGTGGGTCCTTTGTTTTGCTTCCAGTGTTTTCATTATTTATATAAATTAATCATTGTTTGATCATTGTTTGTCTTTTGCTTAAGAGTTCTTTTTTTACCTATGCGTGACAGATGAACAAATTCCATTTTCCTATGAAGGGTGGCACAGTGGTGCAGTGGGTAGCACTGTGGCCTTCCAGTTAGAAGGTTGTCGGTTCAAGGCTCATAAGTGACCTTCCTGGAAGGAGGTTGTATGTGTTGCATGGGTTTCCTCCACAATTGCAAAAACATCTAAATTCCCCTTAGGTATGATTCTGTGTGTTGCTCTGCTATGGACTGGGGACCTGTCCTGGGTTGTACCCCCACCTCTTGCCCGATTTTAGCTGGAGATTGGCACCAGCAGCCCCTCGCGTGTTAGAAAATTAATGAACTAATAAATGAACTAAATTCATTTAGTGGAAGACCAGTTTGGATGTCTTGGCAAAGCCTGGAGGCTGTAGAACAGTTGAGCGGTCTACACAGTAAAATCCTAAGAGTTAAATTAACTCTACTCAGTGTGTATTTGGTCCCACTCTATATAGAGTTAAACCAACTCTGGAGGAGAGTTATTTAAATAAGTCTATTTGAACTAAACAGTCTATTTTTGTCTGTTTTTACTCTTTCTGGAGTGGACTTGGTCCCTCTCTGAATAGTTAATATTTAGTTTGAATTTCCCATGCAGATTTGGAAAAACATGATGAAAAATAGATTATTAAATTACTCTTTCTCAGAGTCGGTTTAACTCTATATAGAGTGGGACCAAATATACTCCGAGTAGAGTTAATTTAACTCTTAGGATTTTACTGTGTAGGAGGAGATATGTTTGAAATTTTTTCTCTGTATGTATTTTG